TCTGCTGATTTGGCAATTTATCATATGTTTGTAATTATCTGTATTTAAAGTAGATTTTGATTGTCTACAGATTATAAATTCAGAATATTAACCCTTTGAGCATTTACTGGTCACAAATGTACAAGAGATCTATTGTTAATAAACTACCATAGGGACTGGTTGAAGTCCATAAGATAAATTAAACTGGTTGAATCTCGTGATCTTGACCTATAGTAGTAAGGGGGGTGGGGGAAGTCTTAAAGAACAGTTGATTGTTAAGCTGCCTTAACTTAAAGGGACATACTTTAGTTTCGGAAACGGGAATTTTCTAGCCAAGCCAATCAGTAATAGTGTTCATAGCTCACCGTTGAAATTGAGTGTAATCCATGTATGTCCAGAATTATCTGTGTTTGAATGTTAAAATGATGACTTGTCAATTTAAGATACTCTGTGATATATAGAAAAGACATACCGGTAGAGAAATCATGAGTAAAATTCCTAGTATGAGATATTTTTGATGGAATTGTGTGATTTTCGTACATTTCTAGTATTGATAGACTATTTACATATTAGCTTATTCAAGACTAAAATGAACCTCCAAAATGGAGCCACTGTCTCTTTAAATCATCTGAACTATAAGTTTTGTTTTCCTTGTTTCTTTTTTGGTGTATGCTTTAACCTTTCTACTGTATCTTTAAACACTACTCAATTTCAAAATGAAAACATGGCTATAGCATGAAGTATTGTAACTGTTCTCTGTCTACTCTATATATTATAACATGTCTGACTGTATACATTTCTTATTTCCAGCTAAAGACAAGAATCAAGTCAGCAGGATTAAAAAATTAAAACGCAGGATTTCAGCCAGTTTTGGGCGTCTATGTAAGTAGTCTTTATTTTTAAGATGCTTCATATCCTAATTTAACTTATAAATACAATATATAAACAAAAAACAAGATATTTTTACTGTTGAAATAGTGCTCAAAACATCAATTGTAGAGTGTAAGTATTTGGCAGTCAGCTAATGAATTATTCACATGAGGAAGTATTTATATCATAAATGAGGAACTATTTCATAATGTAAAGTGGTATCAGTTGTCTACAAGAGTAAGCATACCCTGCTTGGTGCCACACTCTTCATTGCTGCTCAATATAACATGAAAAATTGAAAGGTAAAAACTGTATAATGATCACATACTATCCAAGTATTGAATTTTGGATGAGGTACAGAGAGTAATTTTATTGAATTAGTTAATTAATAATACATGTTAATTAGTAGGCCTACATATAGTAGAAAGATCAAATATGTTCACTCGAGACAACAAGCATGTATAGTCTACAGTCTAATATTCAATAGGTTGTCTGAGAGCATATATCACTGACAATTTACGGGGCCCGTGTTGGCTCAGTGAGTGAGATGCTTGCTCCGGTTTAGGTGCAGGTTTTAATCCCAGAACGGGTCAAGGTAAGCTGGCATTGAAAAAGCATCTTGTCAATCAGATGGGACAATAAACTTAAGCCTTTTTTGCTACAGACTGTTCACAGTAAAGATCCCTCGACAGTTGGAAATTGAAAAGAGTAGGCTTATGCTACTATCTTGGTAAAATTTCTCTGATTGCACACTGCATGGCAATGCCGGTCATCATTAACCAAAAATAGGCACTTAAAAGTAGAACATAAAACTCCATTCATTCTTTTTAACCCTATGCCATAGCCAGTGTACCAGTCTTCAAGTCATGAAATTTCAATCAGATAGTATTTTATGCTATAATGAAATATGAACTCAATGAACTTTTTGACTCTTTCTTATCACCTACTTAAACTGTTTTTTCAAGATGGTGATAATATTGTTGACATTAAAATGATTGCTGATTTTATAATGATATATTTGCTCTGATAAGAAACCCACATCAAGTCTATCAAGTATGAATGATTATATAAAAAAACAAATATATATCAAATATACATGTAGTATACCCATATTGGTAACACTACCTGTATGAGCATGTGAAACCTTTGAGATTTCTCAACTTTTTATGTGTATCAGGGACACTGATAGCAGCAATTTGTACCGAATTTTTCAGTCCTTTTGTTTATTTATGGTTCCTGCAATTCTAAAAACGAAGTCGCAATATCTGCTTATATCATAATTACGTCATTAATCTAGATTAGCAGGAACCACAGACCTCTGCAGGTTTAAAAAAGTATTATAGAAGCAGTTCTGGATTGTTTCTTAGCAACTTCGACACACTTGCAACAGGATACAACTAGTTACTCAGTTGTTAATTGCAACTCAATCACTAAAATCAGTCGGTGTACATTTAGCAATTGCTGTTTGTTGCCTCTGTTCTAGTTTTCAGCTACTATTTTTGCTCTTATCACCGATTACTTTCATATTCTTCAGGAAATATATATAAACATGCAGTGAAATGAAGCTGCCATCTTAGATTGTTGATGAGACTAGGGCTGCCCCCTTGCTTGTAGGGAGCCAGCAGTAGTGCTGGTAGGATGTATCACCATACAACATGCCATGATACACGTATCATGTAGCCAGGTTGTGAATTGATACTTGATAATACATCTCATTCAATGTTGATCACTCCTTTCAACTATATTACTAAATATCATAGTTATTAAGTTATAAATTTATAAATATTGAAACTTTGAAGATAAAATGTTAATTGTTATTCCATTACTCCATGTTGAGATATGTATCATTGTGACCCTATGTATCATATCATGGCAAGATTGATGATACCCAGCATTAGAAGTCATAGACAACTTGTTGCTTTCAATTGCTTCAAGTTTGATGTTTGCTCTTAGCTCAAAGTGATCACAACTGTTCTGTCTGTAATCTTTCTGAGTCAATGTACGCTTTGCTTTACTCAATTTGGCATCACTCAAATCAGCTTCTACAATTTTCATCTTTAAGAATGACAAAACTTCACATAATTTTTTTAGTTAATTGACAAAATCAAATATAACACTGTCGCAAATTTATCAAATATGCACCAAGTACTCTCACAGATGTTTTTTGGCAAAATATTCATGTATCTAGTTCTAATCAGCTATGTATGACTGTTTTTTGCATGTGGCTGAAAAAAATGAAGACTGGTATCTCATTGAAATAGTACTGTTATACAATCATAAACTGAAGGCCAAAAGAAACTTGACCACTCTAAAAGTGAATTTAACAAAAAAAATATGTATCAAGTTAAAACCTAATCCACCCAAAATACATTGCCTAAACTTACATTTGGAGGGAATTATACATGATAACTGCTAATTGTGGAGGGAAAATCTAGAAAATGCAAGGAACAGGAACATAGAGGAACAAGGATATAAAAATGGATTGAATGGGATCACACAAGATAAAAAATAACAAGAAGAATGCCATGACTGACACAGCAACAACATGAGCAAGTTCTGGGAATGGTACGGATCCATGCCCACATCGCTAAAACCTTCAGCAGTTCCTGTGTTACTGCATCAAACTTGAATTTTCTTTCATTGCATACTGCTGGGTGTTTCCCATATTCATTTTACTGAATCATTACTGATACTCTTCATTATAGAAGTGAAGAAGATAAAAACAGATCTAGAATATGAAAATAATAATCATGCCAGTCTGTGCCAAATTTTCCCCGAAAAAATGTAAATTATAACTTGAATACAGGCAGCTGTGGTTTCAACAATTTATATTTCAAAATAGACTGGAGTTTAAATTGCTAGAGTTAAAGGAAGAAGGCCACTCTTGTGGGGAATGGGTATTGAAACCTTTGATTTTGTTTGTGATAAGAGTAATATGTTAAAATGCAGTGCTGTTAATTGTCTCTCTCTTTGCCAGAAATGTCCAAACTGTGCCCAAAATTGTCTGACGGACCCCCTTATGTTTGACAGTGCTCATAATGTCTGACAGCACTCCTTTTGTCTGACAAAGCAGATTATGTTGACTGACAGCGCAGATAATGTATGACAGCACCCATAATGAAACCAAGATAAGTGGAATGACCCCTTTAAAATCTAGAAATAACAATGACAGGAACTGCAGTGGCTCAGCAAGAAAAATACTTGCCTGGAGATATGGGGTTTGATTATAGCTTTGACATTGTAGTCTTATTAGAGAAACTTAAGGAATAACTTGTTGATTCATGTTGTATCTGAGATAAAGATATGAAAGAATAACTGGGATAACTCCTTTAAAATCTGGTATATACATATATATATATAGATATAATGATGATCAAATGTCAAATGTTAAAAGTTGATTATTTAATGGACTTCTGTTCTTTATATTATTTATAAAGAGTTTTGTTTTAATTTAAAAATGAATTTGAGCTTAGATGATAAACTTATGTTTGTTTTCTGGTCTAATAGAGCTTAATTTCTGTATTTTATACAAATGTAAGTTTACTGACTTGGCCATGCTCCACAGTTTAGTGTCCCATCCATTAAACATCTTTTTACATGTCAGGCCCTCCCACCTGCATCACTGACGATTTGTTTGAAAATTTTCATTAAAATATATTTGATTTGCAGATTGTAATAAATTTTAATTTTGGATAGCAAAAGTGGTCATTTAGACTCACAAACCTTAATGCTATACTACTGAAATTGAACCCTGCCATATTTTGTATATTACATGTGAGATTTATGTAATTTTTCTTGAAATTTTTAAAAACTGTAAAAACAATTGTTGATAGACTTTGTATTACAATGATCCTCAGATAATTAACAACCAGACAGAGAAATTAATCTTATTTCCCTCTCTCAAATGCTTTTTTTACTTACTTGTAAATTTTCTGGATATCTATGATGAGATGTATGGCTGTATGGAAAAAGGGCCTGGTCATGTAGGACAATAAACCAAGGCTATGCTTTAAGTATAGGTTAAGAATTTTAATGGTTATAGACAGTTAGAAATTGACAAAAAATACTGATTATGTCATGACAAAATTTTCCTGTTGCATATTGCGTGATATTGTGACTGTAACAGAAATATATTATAAAATGACATAGAAATGACTGGTAAGTTTAATGCAAATCAACACTCCTGATTACAATTATTTTATTTTTGTTTCAGCATTATCAAAAGAAGATACAATACATGAAAGTGATCAGGAGGTAGGCTGAAACTAGTTTTATTTCTTTCTATATGTACATTATGTATTGTAAAAAGGTTTTCTTAACTATTTATGTGTATTGGGGATACTGTAAGTATTGATTTGTACTATTCTAATGTATAGTCAGTCAGTTCTTGTCAATTCACTCAAACTATAAGTGCGTTTTATGACGTTACTGTATGGCCTTCTATCATATTAGCAGATTTGTGATAGTAACATCATCAAACGCTTAGGATTAGTGAAATGGCAAGAAATTCAGACATCTGATTAAAAATTGGAATAGTAAAAATTGCACAAAACAGTTTACAAAACCTCTTTACATACCATATAAGTGTGTTTTGTAAATTGTGTAGAATTGATACAGCAAATGCATTTTAACATTTGGACAGAACAAAACTGATTTACTTTATGAGAATTGGGATCAAAACTTCAAAACTTGCCAGGAGGTGCCGTAGTCTTCCCAGAGAAGAGGCTGGCCCAGGTTTGCCCTTCCCATTTTTTAAAATGTGTGTGCTCAATTTTATATGTTTATCAATGGAAAGTTACTCTAAGACAAGCAGTACTATTTTGATAGACTTATTTCTTTTCACTTACATATAATCGGTAAAAACTAGTTTACTTAAAAAAGTAAGAAGACAGTAGCTATTGACTAAGTTATTTTTTAGAGCTTGTATGAATTAAAGATAAAAAAGTTTGACCTAAAGGAAGTAATCAAGTTATCCTGTGAGAAAAGGTTTCAGTGTTAAAGTCCACTTATAAATTGTTAATTATTCTAAAGTATTCAGATTATCAGATAGTGAGATGGCTACCTTAGGCAAGTCAGAATTCATTCTATGGTTTACATGCATTTCTTCTTTTAGTTTAAGTTATTTGGCCGATCATGCTTTAGTCTAAGGAAATTTTCTGGCTAAGCCAATCAGTAATAGTATTCATAGGTCACTGTCGAAATTTTAGCCTTCAAATCCATGTGTGTCCAGAATTATCTGTGTTTGAATGTAAAAATGACAACTCATCATTTTAAGATACTCTGTGATATATAGAAAGACAAATAAAGAAATAGTGAAATTCCAAATTTGAATATTTTTAAGGAATTATGCAATTTCTAATACCTCTAAAGATTATTTACGTACATATAGTCAAGACTAAAATTAACCTCCCGAAATTGTGCATCTGTTTAACATTGAGCCCTTGCTGTAACATGCTGCTATTCATTGTGCTATGTTATTATTTAAAGAGAATGTAACAGGGTTTTCTAAAATAGTTATGTGTCATGTATAAGGGACACTGATCGCATCATTTTGCACTATTCCAATTTTCAATCTGACATGTATGGTAAACTACTAAGTGTTTTATGACATTACTATCTCGCTAGTTCTATATATATATCAATAGCCGCTTTTGCGATTGTGACGTCATAAAACATTTTCTAATAATGGCAAAAGCTACAGACTTTTGACTGGATATTGGAATGGTGCAAATTGCTACTGATACATTTGCATGAGTTTTCAGTATTATAAATTTATAAGTTTTTAAATACAGTGGAGCCCTGTTAAATCAGCACAACTGTATATTGTATGCGGTCAAAATCACATCAAACACTTAAATCAATAAAAGTGTCCCTATTACACTTATTATTGTGAATTAAGTTTGGCTGAGAAGCTTGAAAAAAAAAACTTTTGTGAAATAATATATTACACAACTAGCTTGTTTGATACAAACAATATTTTATATTGTCCTTCATGATGAAGTCTAATTATAGGAAGGGAAGGTGGTTTGTCTCTGGGGAACTAATTATCTGCCTTGTACTAGCTTACTGAGATTCTACTTGATAAAATACACTTGATATAGAGGTCAATATGTAATCCCACTTCAGTAAAGACTACACCTTATCTGACTTAAATATCAAGAGGAAAGTGGAAGAGGTAGGAAAGGGTTTGTAGCAGTGGTGTATATAGGTGGTCGGTTATTAGCCATTTGTCAGTTGAGTTTTGTCCCAACTTTTATCAGGAATACAAAACAAGTCAGTGTTTAACAATTAATATTCCAGTATGCAGGATTTCTTGCATGTAGGTGGTCTATATACTATATTAAAAAAAGAGCATTTGATTGCTTGAATGAATGACTTGATTGTAAGTGAAGTCACTTCAGCAAAACCACAAAATAAAATGAACCTTTTCTATTCTGTCAGTAACTGCTATTGGTTTATTTTAGTCTGATTCTGGACCAATCGGAAATGGTTTTACATCTAGTGATGAATTCTCCCCGGCACATGTACCAAATCACCTCAATGGTGGTCATTATCTAGTCACTAATGGTAACCAAAACTCTGAGTCACATGTTACCAAGAGCCAATCAAAACCTTCTGTGATACCACGAACTTCAGGTAGGGAATTAACAAACTTTTAGCTCCTGTTCAGTGAGCATGCTTTGCTCATATGTCATAGCCCTAAATGTTGTAAGGTTAACCCCTGTTTCAAATCTTCTGTGAAGCCAAGAACTTCAAGTCAGAAATCTAGAAAGTTGCAGCACCTGTTCAGCAACCTTTGTTTTTTTTTTTGGCTAAATGTTGAAACTTTACCTACTTCTATTGTCTGGCCAAATCTTTACCTCCATTGTCTGGCCAAATCTTTACCTCCATTGTCTGGCCAAATCTTTACCTCCATTGTCTGGCCAAATCTTTACCTCCATTGTCTGGCCAAATCTTTACCTCCATTGTCTGGCCAAATCTTTACCTCCATTGTCTGGCCAAATCTTTACCTCCATTGTCTGGCCAAATCTTGACCTCCATTGTCTGAATAACTGGCCAAATCTTCACCTCCATTGTTTGAATAACTGGCCAAATCTGTACCTCTATTGTCTGGTCAAATACTGAAATGACTCCAATGACTTTATCTCTTTCAATGAAATTTTTTTCAATGGATGACTTTTACCATAAATATTCCTTGCATGAAATGTATTAACCATGTAAATTTGTGTATATTTCAGCAAAACATCATACCCCAGTGAAACGACACCACTCTGATGGTGATATGTTAGCAGTTGACCCCCCACCACCAAACCGTGTTCGACCCCCAGAACCAGAGTCCCGATTGAGCCAGCGCCCCAAATCTGAGGGACATGTATATAGTCGCCATATGTTATGTAAACGGGCTTCTAGTTATGGGGTAGGCATTTTAGAATTTATTATTTTTTGGTTGCACATTGAAAGTTTTTAAATCAGTGTTTAAAGGAAAAATGATCTGAGATATTCTGGAAAGGAGAGGTTTGACCAATTATACCTTAGTCTCAGAAATGGGAATGTTAGTTAAGCTAGTTAAGCTACAGCTACAGCTTTAGATACATTTTTGGTACATATGAAGACTTTAACATATATTTGAGATTCTAATCAACCCTGAAAATGGGAAAGCTGTTCCTTTAAAAGAAATATGAAGTCATGGCGAGTAGCTGTGTTTATACTTACTCAGATTTCTGGGGTTTCTTTATCAGCGATGGAGCTAGTTGGTTGGACTTAAAACAAAGGTTACATGTTCTTACTTCTTATCCAACTACCACTTATCATATAACACTGTCATCTAGTCAAACAATACTACTGTAACACTACCATTATTAGTTGTTGTTTACTCCAGGGTAATTCACCATTTGGTCGAGCTGATTCCTATCATAAATTAGAGCAGTTGGGCGAGGGTTCGTATGCTACAGTGTTTAAAGGTTTAAGTAGGTAAGTATTATACCTTTTCCAGGATTTTGTTGGCATGTAAAACTATTCCAGAACACCTGATTCCACCCTCAAACTGATTGTATCAATATTAGATGATAGTCCACATATAAAAGTTACTGAGATCCTTTTTTGCAATGAAAAGAATGGCTTTTATATTCAGTTTCTACTAATTATTTTCACAATAGTCAAGTTATTACAGGGAACCAACTAAGCAGTATCACATTGCAATTTGCGATAAAATTTTCAGCAAAATGTCAGTAGAGCAGTGTTTTGTGACACATAATATTTTCTAAAAATAAATAAAATTTAACTTATTATAAGATTGGTATAAGTTGAAGACATAATACATTGGCCATTTTGAAGATGGGGGTCCTTATTTTCTTCAGAATAAACTTTTTGAGAGTTCTATTAGAGTAAATAATATAATTTGGGCTCATTCATGTAATTTCGAATAATATGTATTTTTCACTCTTGTTTCAGTATGACTAATCAAACAGTAGCATTAAAAGAAATTAGACTACAGGAAGAGGAAGGAGCCCCATTTACTGCTATCAGAGAAGGTTAGTTCTTCACAGATGGGTCAGGGGTGTAGTCTAATTGGTTAGATCTTACTCTCTTGTGATTTCATGATAGTCCAATATGTCTAAATTGCAATTTTTGGGTTTTGATCATATTTACAACCTGATAGGTTTGACAGTGCAGTCAACTAATCCCAATTACATCCAGTCCATTAAAATTGGCTCTAGAAGCCCAGTCTTACCTTGTAAAGTAATTTTTATACTTGAAACTACACCAACCCAGCATGTCTTTCGGTCATGGTTATTCTTTAGGATTGCCCAGATAAAAAATGGCGATCTCTTGTTTCCGGTGGAATGTGGGACAAATCAAAGAAATGTTTCTCCCCTACGTGTATCAAGGGTGATCCTAGAGAATAACCATGGCCATTAACACAATGCCCAACATCATATTCCAAATCTATTCTGTATTCATTTCGTATTTTCTTTTCTGTTTCAGCATCATTGTTAAAGGGTCTACGCCATGCCAATATTGTCACCTTACACGATATAATTCACACTAAAGAGACTTTAACATTTGTTTTTGAATATGTAGTAAGTATCAGTTGTCCCCCTTTAATTCTAGAGGGTGCTATTGTTGTTGAGCAGTTTAGACTCTTGCTCACTGACTGAAGATCAGTGGTGCGATCCCAGCTCCAAGTCTTTACATGATTGAATAAAAATGTTGAGATCATAATGAAGTGGCTATTAGTCTGCTGTATCAATGGAAGGAAATCAAGCTGGTCCTCCCTGTATATAGTATGAATATCTTTCAGGATACAGATTTAAGTCAGTATTTAGAAAAACATCCTGGTGGACTTAATGCCTTCAATGTTAAAGTAAGTAAAATGATTTTTACAATTGGACAATAGACTAGTTGCACTTTCTTGGCACAATTACCCACAATGAGCACAGCATGTTGTTGCTGCAATTCAGGTTATGATTAGCCTGATCCAGTGATAAGATTTAGGATTTATTTCTATTTTAAGACAGTTAGAAACTGATATAGAGTAGGCTTTTGCAGCTTTCATGACAAATGTCATTTTATTGTTCGCTTTCTTTAGGACAAACTTGAAAAGAAAAAAAACATTGAAAAAAAATTAAAATTGAACTCTTTAAACAGGATTCTTTGAAAATTTTGTTGATGTTTTTTTTCCAGTTGTTTTTGTACCAGTTATTACGTGGCTTAGCCTTTTGTCATCATCGACGCATTTTACATAGGTTTGTACTGTTGTCTTATACATTGATTGTGTAATTTAATCCAGTTCACATGCAGATCTAGATATTTTGTTTTATGTCTTTTCTGTGGGTAACTCCACTCAACATCCATAATCTGATAGAATTACTATGAAACACATGTTTTAGGTCAGTGAAATATGAAACCAATCAATGCTTAGATGGATTTATAAACCACCATGTGTGGAAGTTGTACGTTAGGAAAGGCCTTTGATTACAGGCTCAGTCAAATTGTTTAAAGTCTTTCTGTCATGGGCAATGATTGGCTAGATTCCCTTGTGTACAATCCAATCAAATCAACGTATTTACAAATATCTGTGATACAAGAAAGGTGGCTATTGCAGTCAAGATATTAGACGCAGTTCATGATAGCTTGACATTGTGCCACAAGCCTTACATATTAACGATTATATTAGACTAATTGAAAACTTTCATTCATTGGACACTGCATGGCTCATTCTTTTCATTCATCAAATGACAATTTGTTTTTCAGAGATTTAAAGCCTCAGAACCTTTTGATAAGTGATAAGGGTGAATTAAAGCTAGCTGATTTTGGACTAGCACGAGCCAAGTCTATACCTAGTCGGACTTATTCACATGAAGTTGTAACTCTTTGGTACCGACCCCCTGATGTTTTATTAGGGTCAACAGATTACTCAACATCACTAGATATGTGGTAAGTGAGGGTGGGTAGAGGATGGTACAAACAATCTGATGGAAATCAAAAAGGAGTATGCCCTGGCAAAATTTCTCTCAGTCCGTCTTCATTAGCCCAAGAAAATCTGTATCTGTGTCCTTCAATGTAATTGTTTTACCTAAATTTTGTTTTTGTCAGGGGTGTAGGTTGTATATTTACTGAAATGATAGCAGGTGTTGCAACATTCCCTGGTATGAAAGATGCCTATGACCAGCTTGATAAAATATTTAAGGTGAGTTAACTGTGTGATATAAAAGTTCAAAAGCATCATATATCACATATTAACATTGCCAAGCTCTTATGAACTTCATTCTTATACCTTGACTGCAATAGCCAATATTCTTGTATCATACAACTAATCATAGCCGTCAACAGAAAGGCAGTAAACATTATGGCTTTGTGTGCACAAATTTTCTGTCGAAGCCTCTGATTGGCTGTAATCACTAGCGTTCAACCCAATCAAATCCTTTCAATTACAAACTTCTATGATGCAAGAGTAGTGGCTGTTGCATTCATAATTAGTATTAGCTTGACTTTGTGAAGATGTGTGTAATTGTGATAGATGAGGTCTGGCTTTCTTTTTTGAAGCCTTGGTATTGTAGACTGAATATTGAAGATTCCTCAACAGGTGGATATCCAACATAAAAATGTCCCTCACTTAGCACTGACCATTTTCATAATGGTCCATTTCATTTGAATCCATTCCAAATTACAAATTTTTAATCTAAAATATAAACTGATAAAAATTTTCCTTTATAATAACAAAATGAGCAGAAATATTCCATTTCATGCCATGTTTTATTTTCTAAATTTGTATTTATTCCAAACAATGACTTATTTTACAGGTTTTAGGTACACCAAGAGAAAAAAGTTGGGAAGGTGTTACCAAGTTTCCCAATTACGATAAAAGTAAGTTTATAAATTTACACAATTTGTTAGCTGACTGAAGCACAAAATATTTCTAACAATCATTAGGTTGAGAAATATAAGTTTATCTTGGGTATTCTTACTTGATTTTTATTAGTTACACTCCTTGTCTGCTATCACTTTGCTACTGTTTTAAAAAAAACAGGCTTGTTCTCACTCTTTAAAAATTCATGAAGGGAGCTGCAGTGGTTCAGTGAATCTTGTTCTCCTATTAGGCCACACCCTCAAACACCCTCTAACATGAATCCTTCAAGCTACAAAGAACTTTTCTTAGTATAATGTCAGCTTTCTGTGTTCAGAATGATGTGTACATACTTCTGATTCAGATATGTTCTCTCTTTCAGCTAAATTTGGGTTTTATTATCCCCAAACATTAAGTTGTGTTGTCCCAAAATTAACCTTCATTCCACATTCACAAGAATTAGCTTCTAAGTTTCTACAGGTGGGTATCCAACTTATATATTTTGAATTTTTGTGTCCTATGAGTGGCTGATTGCACACTTCAGCATTTTTTCGTTTGACTGATAAGGGAAATAGAATATTTTACATGAATAACAAGGATCTTGTCTACTAGGTGGTAATCTACCAGATTATCTGTACGCCCATTACATTATGTCCAGAAATTATATAATTTTAGGCTAATGCAGCTATCCTGGCCAAATTTCCCACTTGATAGATTGTAACAGACTTCTTGTCTTCATCAGCCCAAACTTTCATTTTATATAACCATTCATACTACTATTTTATATGACCATTCATACTACTATTTTATGTGACCATTCATACTACTATTTTATATGACCATTCATACTTCTATTTTATATGACCATTCATGCTACTATTTTATATGACCATTCATACTACTATTTTATATGACCATTCATACTACTATTTTATGTGACCATTCATACTACTATTTTATGTGACCATTCATACTACTATTTTATATGACCATTCATACTACTATTTTATGTGACCATTCATACTACTATTTTATATGACCATTCATACTACTATTTTATATGACCATTCATACTACTATTTTATATGACCATTCATACTACTTTTTTTAATATGACCTTTCATACTACTATTTTATATGACCATTCATATTTCTATTTTATATGACCATTCATACTACTATTTTATATGACCTTTCATACTACTATTTTATATGACCATTCATATTTCTATTTTATATGACCATTCATACTACTATTTTATATGACCATTCATACTACTATTTTATATGACCATTCATACTACTATTTTATATGACCTTTCATACTACTATTTTATATGACCTTTCATACTACTATTTTATATGACCATTCATACTACTATTTTATATGACCTGTCATACTACTATTTTATATGACCATTCATACTACTATTTTATATGACCATTCATACTACTATTTTATATGACCATTCATACTACTATTTTATATGACCATTCATACTACTATTTTATGTGACCATTCATTTTACTATTTTATATGACCATTCATACTACTATTTTATGTGACTATTCATACTACTATTTTATATGACCATTCATACTACTATTTTATATGACCATTCATACTACTATTTTATATGACCATTCATACTACTATTTTATGTGACCATTCATACTTCTATTTTATATGACCATTCATACTACTATTTTATATGACCATTCATACTTCTATTTTATATGATCATTCATACTACTATTTTATATGACCATTCATACTACTATTTTATATGACCATTCATACTACTATTTTATGTGACCATTCATACTTCTATTTTATATGACCATTCATACTACTATTTTATATGACCATTCATACTTCTATTTTATATGACCATTCATACTTCTATTTTATATGATCATTCATGCTACTATTTTATATGACCATTCATACTTCTATATTATATGACCATTCACACTACTATTTTATATTACCATTCACACTACTATTTTATATGACCATTCATACTACTATTTTATATGACCATTCATACTACTATTTTATATGACCATTCACACTACTATTTTATGTGACCATTCATTTACTATTTTATATGACCATTCATACTACTATTTTATATGACCATTCATACTACTATTTTATGTGACCATTCATACTACTATTTTATGTGACCATTCATATTTCTATTTTATATGACCATTCATACTTCCATTTTATATGACCATTCATACTACTATTTTATATGACCATTCATACTACTATTTTATATGACCATTCATACTACTATTTTATGTGACCATTCATATTTCTATTTTATATGACCATTCATACTTCCATTTTATATGACCATTCATACTACTATTTTATATGACCATTCATACTACTATTTTATGTGACCATTCATACTACTATTTTATGTGACCATTCATACTTCTATTTTATATGACCATTCATACTACTATTTTATATGACCATTCATACTACTATTTTATATGACCATTCATACTACTATTTTATATGACCATTCATACTACTATTTTATATGACCATTCATACTACTATTTTATATGACCATTCATATTTCTATTTTATATGATCATTCATACTACTATTTTATATGACCATTCATACTACTATTTTATATGACCATTCATACTACTATTTTATATGACCATTCATACTACTATTATATATGACCATTCATATTTCTATTTTATATGATCATTCATACTACTATTTTATATGACCATTCATACTGCTATTTTATATGACCATTCATATTTCTATTTTATATGATCATTGATACTACTATTTTATATGATCATTCATACTACTATTTTATATGACCATTCATATTTCTATTTTATATGACCATTCATACTACTATTTTATATGACCATTCATACTACTATTTTATATGACCATTCATACTTCTATTTTATATGACCATTCATACTACTATTTTATATGACCATTCATACTACTATTTTATATGACCATTCATACTGCTATTTTATATGACCATTCATATTTCTATTTTATATGATCATTGATACTACTATTTTATATGACCATTCATACTACTATTTTATATGACCATTCATATTTCTATTTTATATGACCATTCATACTACTATTTTATATGACCATTCATACTACTATTTTATATGACCATTCATACTTCTATTTTATATGATCATTCATACTACTATTTTATATGACCATTCATACTACTATTTTATATGACCATTCATACTTCTATTTTATATGATCATTCATGCTACTATTTTATATGACCATTCATACTTCTATTTTATATGACCATTCATGCTACTATTTTATATGACCATTCATACTTCCATTTTATATGACCATTCATACTACTATTTTATATGACCATTCATACTACTATTTTATATGACCATTCATACTACTATTTTATATGACCATTCATACTACTATTTTATATGACCATTCATACTACTATTTTATATGACCATTCATACTTCCATTTTATATGACCATTCATACTACTATTTTATATGACCATTCATACTACTATTTTATATGACCATTCATACTACTATTTTATGTGACCATTCATTTTACTATTTTATATGACCATTCATACTACTATTTTATATGACCATTCATACTACTATTTTATGTGACCATTCATTTTACTATTTTATATGACCATTCATACTACTATTTTATATGACCATTCATACTACTATTTTATGTGACCATTCATTTTACTATTTTATATGACCATTCATACTACTATTTTATGTGACCATTCATACTACTATTTTATATGACCATTCATACTATTTTATGTGACCATTCACTACTATTTCATTAGATGTTTTTTTTGAATAGATGGATCCCTCCAAGAGAATCTCAGCCCAATTAGCTATGAAACATGAATATTTTCACGATTTACCACCGAAGATACAAGACATTCAAGATGGTAGGTTCATCTCTTAGTATATTTAAACAACCCTTCAAATAATCTCTTTAATAGTTTAAATGATACAAACAGATATAAACTTTGTTTAACTGCTGTTTATGAGAGTTGAAGTGACTCATTAAGTTAGATGATTGCTCTCTAACCTGAAGGGCAGGGTTCAATTCAGACAAATGTCGTGATAATACCTGAATTTTTCAACCTAATTTTACCCTGTCAGTGATATGGGTCACTTCCCATTCTCAAAAGAACAATACAGTTCTTAATTTACATTTCTAAGATCAACAGTCCTGCTATAGACTGATGATCCAAATAAGAGAGCTCACTGTACAGGAGTTGGAAAGCCAATATGCACTAGAAAGATTGTGATCTCTATTTTTAGTATCCAGTATATTAGACATTCCTGGTTTGATGATACTACCTGAAATGGATGAATTAGTGTCGCCACGACGACCTAATGGCCGCTCTGGTATTCGTACAACGCTCAAAGTCTAGTCCCAGTTTAGAATACAATAGTTGTATATATTTAGTCATAGTAAGTATACAGTTCTATGTTGTTGATAATTGGAAATTGCAAGAGTAGGAATCTGCGGTTGTCAATGATACAGGTCTGACATTGAAAAAGTGTCTAGACGTTCGGATAGGACAATAAATACAGGTTAAAGATACTTCAAAAAAATAGGTTAATGTTAATTTTCCTCACTGCACATTGCATGGTATTGCTTATGTTTATAACCCATTCATGTGCAAAAAAAAAACCATTTCATTTATTCAAGTTTCTAATTGTGTTTCAGTGAAAGGATTTAGTTGTGTAAAAAAGAGTTTTCAATGTGAGAGGAAGAAAAGGTGCAGAATGGATGGGAAGTAGATGCTAAACAAGGGGGGGAGTGCTTGATTGGTGAGTTCTGATTGTTCAGGATTCATGGAATCAACCAGATATTTAATGAAACAAGTTGAAACAGGATTCAGAATGCGTTCCAAAAATAATAGCAGATGTAGACACAAATCAAAAATATGAATGTGACACATCTGGTTTTGTAACATTTGATTGAGGCCAGAATTGTACAGACAGGCCCTGTTCAGAATAAACTAATCGAGTGCCACCAAGATAATGGATCTACTGTTCAAGGATTTAATTTTAAATGTGTGAGCAAGAAAGTGGTCAGTGTATGAGATAAAATAGGAAAGGAAACTCGCTTCAAATTCTAAAACTGAAATGCATTCTTCCACAACACCTGTTACCACTCTCTGCTAGGCTTGTCAAGTCAGCAATGCTTTTGGAGAATCACATAATATATTATATAATATTGTTTATTGGTGATCGTCAACTCAGCATTGCTTTCGGAAAGGCCTCACAGTAAATATTTTTATTGTATTATATATCTAATATGCAATGATTTATGTACTTTTGGATTTTCAAAAATTGGAGATGTTTCAGAAGAAATTTTGTGATTCAAGGAAAGAGTGCTTTCGGTGGAGAAATTATAATTAAAGCGATTTTTAGAAAATTACTCTATGATTTGGAAATAAGAATATGGAATTATGTGATTTTAAAAAAATGAATGTGATTTGGAAAAGAAAATGATGCAACTAAATGTGTGTTGGACAAAATAAGTTATTTGGAAAGTTTGAAAAAAATGTTATATTTTAGAAAAATATGGTTGTAATTCGACAATTCATCTAAATGATATAAGTAATTATGACAAGCAACAAATCTGAAGTGTACGTATCCAAAGAAAAGTTACCAAAACACTTTTTGTATTAAGCTAATTTATAGTTACCTATTTAATTCATGGGCATATTAAACAGAGATCATTTTATTTAAGCCAGATATAAAAGACCAGAAAGACACAATTTAAAGTCTCAACCAACTAATCATCAAGAAATTTGAAGAAAAACAGCAGATTTTTTTATGCTCTTTGACTTTCACAGGGTTTAATGAGAAAAACAAAGCATTTCAAGTAATGTTTTTGTTTCACTTTGTTTTTTTGGTGCATTTTTAAGTGGCTTTAAAACTATATCTATATATATCATAGTCTGAAAGAAGAGTTAAAACTAAAGCTGATGATGAAACAAGGATTACTTATGATTTATATTAATATAATAACCAAGTGATGGAGACCTGGAGATTTGTGTTTAAAGAGAGACAGAACCAACTCACAGTTCTTGTTAATTTAAGCTATCAACTTTAAGTTATAATGTCTCTGAAAACCTGTCCAAGTTGAATGTGTGTCATATGTTAATGAATAACCAATGAAAATTACATTGTGAAAAAACAACTTGACAATAAGTAATGTGATGTTCATATAGACATAGAGGAGGATAGTGGACTGTATCTATACAATAACTTGCATTTGCCTGGAACAATTTTAGTCATACCTGGAAATTTTCAAGCATTATGCATAAAGCAAACTCTGACAAGAATCCTGTACCCTCCTGAAAGAGTCAAGCCTATTATGTCTATGGATATAAAGAAGTGTAATATTTATGATTTATATCTTGTTTCTGAAACTATTACTTTTTTTTATGGGCAGGGACATGAATTTTCATTGTTTTATTCTTATAAGTTTATTGGCTTACCCATGAAAGGAGTTCAATTTCAGCTATATGTCTCATTTTTTAGAATGAAAACCCGATAATTGGTTTGTCTACAATGTAAGTTTTCTCTGATATTGACATTTTCCCATAATACCAATGGCATCATAATATCAGTAATGTTTGTATGGGAGAATTCTAATAACACACTAGAAATTATGAGATATGATGCATTTGATTAAATTGTAAACATACTAGATTTCAGAACATTGCTATTGTATTCCAAATAATAAGACATAAAATTGCTTGAATGCAACATAAAGTGGCTTATATTTGTAGACACTTGCATGTACCTCTAATTCAAAGGCTCTTATTTCGCGCAAACATTCGATCAACATTTCAAGTTTGTTTTATTTGTCTTGGTAGTAGAATTCTATTTTGTATTTCATTATTATTTTAAGCTTATTTATTTCATTTGTTTTGTTTTCAAAGATTATTTCTTAATTAAGACTGTTGATTTGACTGTGTTTACCAGTCATTTCTGACTAGGGCTCTAGACTGTTGATTTGATTGTATTTATGAGTCATTTCTGACTACAGCTCTGCACTGTTGATTTGACTTTATTTACTAGTCATGTCAGACTAGAGCTCTAGATTGTTGATTTGATTGTAGTTACCAGTCATGTTAGACTAGAACTCTAGACTGTTGATTTGTTTATATTTACCAGTCATGTCTGACAAGAGCTCTGTACTGAATATATGTCAAGTCTGACTAAAGCTCTAAATTTGTGAACAAAAGCCATTGTTAAAGAAGTTTTGAAAAAAATTGTAAATTTAGAATTAACTTAAAGATATTTACTTAATACACTTTATATTTTATGTTATTAGACTCCAAAATAACATTATTATACCTTATTTTTTTCTGAACACATCCCCATTTCCTATGTTTATCCTGTTGAATCCTGTCTAAAGTCATGATCGAAAATTCAATGGCAGGTTCATTAGGTAGTGGGCAAATGAGCATATTATTTACACATTTTCCCTCAATTATTTACATCCATGAATGCATTTTCATTGGTTAAAATTATCTTGTAAAGAATACAATCAATTTCGACTTTCTTTCATACAATGGACAATGTATCCGATGCATCCATGTGTCTAGTCAGAAACACTTGTATCTATTCCAGCCTTGGTGGATTCAAGGTAAATAAATAATCCCCATAAAATAGGGCCTTGTTTTTCTGACCCTACTGCAGCCACAACTTTCACAATAGCTATCAGAGATTAGAATAGAGGTAGATGTTTCAGACTACCATGTGGCCATTGCATCTAAAGCTGTGTGACATATAATGAGGCGTGGTTTTAACTATTTAAGATTATTTGAAGCTAGTCATGTTTTAATGCCAAATCATGATTTTTATGTTTTAATTCACATTTTTTACCACTTTTTTCTATTTATTTTTTATTTAAGGCTTTAAAGCTTTAGTAGAACACAATTTTGTTATGTTTGGCCTTGAATTTGTGGGTTTTTGGTTTACAAGTAGTATGTTTGTACATGTCTGAAACTTGTTGATGTTTAAGAGATGCAGTCAATATTATTTGCTTGGTCTGTTACTTGAGCTCATTTTCAACTCTCTATATCTCCTTTCAGAATGGAAATTCAACTTAAGGTTAGTCTGCAATATAACTACGACATAACTGGTGGAAGTCTCAGATATAGATAGTGTACACTTGACTCGAGAATCATATCTAAAAGGAATAGTCATCTAAATATTTGCTTCCCAAGCTGATAGAGCTCAATTTCATCCCACAAAATCACTTTGATGACAGTTAAGTTTGTTAGGATGTTTTCTTAATTGTAATTGAATAGGTTGCCAGAATTTCAGTTACAGATAGTTGATATTGGGTTCTGTATTTAAATTGAAGATTACTCCTTGGTTCATGTTATTGCTACCATAAATAAACAATGCAGAGATTTTAGAATACTTCAGTTTGGAGAAAAAAAACTAAATATGTTTCTGGTCTCTGGCAACTGATTTATCATAAAGATTGTGAAAAAAAATTGTCTATAGTAAATTGCTTCTAATAGAACAGCTTTTATAGCAATCGTTGTGTTGTTTTTATTTTATCTTGGCTCCATTCATGTTACACAAAGAAAGTGTGTCTCTACTCAGTTTACTTTCATAAAGTATTTCCATTCAATCACTCAAAGTTTGTCAATTTAATCACTCAAAGTTAGTCAGTTTACTTTCATAAAGTTTTTCAATATAATCACTAAATGTTAGTCTGTTTACTTTCATAAAGTTTTTCAATATAATCACTAAATGTTAGTCTGTTTACTTTCATAAAGTGATTCAATTGATTCACTAAAAGCTAGTTAGTTTATGTTCATAAAGTTAGTCAAATTAATCACTGAATGATTAACATTTTAAAATCTGAAAGTTGGCAACTCATGGTGATGTAATGATTAGCTTTCAATTACAAAC